TACTGGGCACCCTGGAGGTGTGAAAACTGAGCCAGACCATGGGGACCCAGAGGTGGGTGTGGCCCCCAGTGCTAGTGGGTGGCGCTGCAGTCCTCAGTGAGCATGGTGCTATGATGGAGGGTGTGTGCAGGTGCGATGGAGGCCCCAGAAAGAGCTCTTCGACTAAGTGTTGGGGAGAAGGCTTTCCAGACAGATTAAAACAGCTTCCCTAGGCTCCTTAAGTGATGAGGCTCCTGGGGTACCCAATGGAACCTCAGCTTTATGAAAAGCTAAGATAACACCTTTAGCTCCAGCTAAGTTGTTGCCACACTATGGTTCCAGCCCTGTGTGCAGAGTATCACAGAGAGCTCCATTGTGTGCAATGTGTGCAACTGTATGCGCTCATCTAAGGAAGGATAGTTGGATTGTTTCCAGTTTTAGCCTGTTACAAATGCAGCTTCTCAGAACATTTACATCCATCTTTTGTGGAAACACCAAGTTTTATTTCTCTAGGATAAATTGCTGAATCGAATGGTTCACGTTTGATTTGTAAGAAACTGCTGTTTCTCTCCCTCCCCCACACCCTACCCCTCACCCCAAGGTCTTGCCAGAACTTACAATCCTTCTGCCTCGGCCTCCCAAGTGCTGGAATTACAGATGTGCACCACCATGTCCAGTTTCAAAAGATAACTTTTAAAGATATAAGCACAATTTCTTTAATATTATTAACTGTCTAGTGAGTATTTGTATTATTTATTGCTGTGTAACATGCGGTTTAAAACAATGATAAACATGTTTACTTTTATTTTTTATCTTTTTATTTTTTTGTTTTGGGGATTGAATCTACCATGGTTCTATACATTGCTGGGCAAGTGCTCTACCACGGAGGTACATCCCCAGCTCCTCCTGTTTTCCTTTAACCATAAACACTCATAGTTACTGTGGGTCAGGAATTCGGAAACCAATTAGCTGGGCAGTTCTGGCTCAGTGTCTCATAAACTACTGTCCCCTGGAAGTTCAGCCTAGAGGACCTGCTCCCCAGCTGGTTTGTTCTTATCTGCCAGTGGTTGTTGCCAGAAGGCTCTGATCCCTTCTTAAAGGCTCCCCACAGGATGCCTTGAAAACCTCAGAACCTGGGCTTGATTTTCCCATAGTCAGTGATCCCAGGAGCCAAGGAGGAAGCCACACAGGCTTCTGCAGGGGTCCCTTGGCCATACCCGCCAGCCTGCTTCAGCGTGGGAACCCGCAAGGGCACAAATATCAGGATTTTGAATTGGAATTCAGATTGCCCCAACTGTCTGTCTGTCTGCCTGGCCATCTGTTTTTCTCTCTTTCAGAGGTGGTTTATTTGAATCAAGATCCAAATTTTGTTGATGTGGCACATAAGTGCCTTTTAACCTCTAGGTTCCTTCTCCTCTTGTTTTTGCAATCTCCCGTCTCAGCCTCCCTAGTGCTGGGTTACAGGTGTGCACCAACATGCCCCAGTGGTCTTTGCCATTGTGTGTACATTGTTTGGGCCACCTCTGCACCCCTCACCCACCTTTTGCCATTTTTAAAATGAGAAAAGCCTGGTTGTTTGTCTTTAATTTTTTCTGGGGTTTTTTTGTCTGGTTGGTTGGTTTTTGGGTTTTTGGGGGTTTTGTTTGTTTTTGGTTTTTTGTATTGGGGCTTGAATTCAGTGCCTACACTTTAAGCCACTCCACCAGCCCATTTTTGTGATGGGTTTTTTTAAGCTAGTGTTTCACGAACTATTTGCCTGGGCTGGCTTCAAAGGAGAGCCTCCTGATCTCTGCCTTCTGAGTAGCTAGGATTACAGGTGTGAGCTACCGGCACCTGGCCAGATTTTTCTGTTTTTAAAAATTATTTTTCTCGGACTGGCGGAGTGACTCAGCAGTAAAAGCGCCTGCCTAGCAAGCAGGAAGTCCCAAGTTCAAACCCCAGTGTTGCCAAAAACAAAAAATAAAATAAATAAATATCTATCTATCTATCTATATATATATATATATTCTCTCTCTCTCTTTCTCTCTCTCTCTCTCTCCCCCTACAGTGCTGGGGATTGAACCCAGGGCCTCACACATGCTAGGCAAGCACTTTACCACTGAACTACATCCTAGGCCCTATAATTACTTTTAAATTGACGGACAAAATTATATGTATTTAAACCAGGCACATTATCCCAGAACTGAAAGGTTAAGGCAAGAGGATTTTGAATTCAAGCCAACCTAGACTACATAGTGAGACACTGTCTCAAAACAACAAAAAAATTGTATGTTTATCATGTACTACATGAAATCTATATATGTCATGGAATGACTGGATTGAGCTAATTGACATTTGTTTTACATCACAGTTACCTCTGTGTTTGTGATACTGGGGATTAAAAAAAAAAAAAAAAACAGGGCCTCTAGCATGCTAGACAAACATCCTACCCTCCATTTTTCTCAGTGTTCCACTTACTGGGTTTGGTTGATTGCATATGCATGACGCTACTTAAAATGTACCCCTGATCTAGCTTTCCTGTGAACTGGGGCTTAGATCTAGAACTTCATATGATTCAGATTTAATTTTTTCATAAGAAAACTTCATTGGTAGTGTTTACTTCCCTCAGGAGGTAGGCATGTCAGGTTGACTCTGTAAATATGCTAATGGCTACTAATTATCATCACGTAGCTTCGTTATTTCATCAGAGGTTTACAAAATAGGAATAAATTAGCCTTATAATTGTTTCATTTGTGAGTTGGAATATTTTCTTTTTTGAGACAGGGTCTCACTATGTACCCAAGGCTAACTATAACTCTCAATCCTCTTGCCTCTGCCTCCTAAGTGCCAAGATTACAGGTGTGGGTCCCATAAATTGGAATATTTCTATGGAAACAAACTTTCACTTCCTGAAGTCTACTTCATATAGAAAAGAAAGGATAAGTGCTTGTTTATTTCCCTTTATCAACAAACATATGGCCAGTTTCTAGCATCCTCCAAAGGTGACCAATAATATGTATTAAAAATAAAACCGTGAATTTACAGATTTGAAAACATTTAGTTGGGCGTGATGGCACATGCCACTAATCCCAGCACACTGACGAGGAGGATCACAAGTCTGAGGCCAACCTGGGCTACATAGCAAGACCCTGCCTCAGAAAACAAAACAATAAATCAATAAATTTGATTTTAATCCATTGTAGTTCTAATTCTTATTAATGCTCAAATTGTCCCATCTTTGGCCAGTAGCAACCTCCTTAGGTTTACCTGAGTCCTCTTGAATAATGAAATGCTACCTTTGCTGCTTTCCAACATGTTCCAAGCTTATTTAGTACATTTCCTGCCACTGACCTCTTCACACTGGATCCTTTCAGTGAGGATAGAGACCTCAGTCTGGGCATTGACAAGTAATTGCCTTTCTTCTGGCCTCTCTTCCCTTTCTCCAGTCTCCAGGGTATAAAACACAAATCTGACCACTCTTACTCAAGGTCCTTCAGGGCTCTGTTGCCCTCAGGACAGTCAGCTCCTGAGCACCTGCACCAGGTCCCTACCTATTTCCTACTAGTCTCCTCAAGCCAGCACGCCTACCTTTTCAGTCTCCTGCCCTCTCCACAATGGATCATGCTGCTGTGCCTGGTCTCATGCTGATCCCTTGGCCTGAAAACCTCCACTCCCACAGCCTTTCCTAATTGTTTCTTCCCTCTTACTTTGATTTAACCTTCGATTAACCCTTAGCTCAGTATCATCTCCAACATGCTCTCCCTAATGCACAGGGCCAAGCTTTATCTCCCAGTTGTCCCACAGCCCTAGGTGTTTGCCCATTCTAACACGAAACTCTCCTGCACTGTTAGCAGGAAATGACTACCAAGCAGGAAGTCTTATCCACCTTATCCCTGTATTTGGGAGGTCACTCCCACCAACCCCATTTCTGTGGCTCCCATCTTCCTCACTCTGGTGCAGGCCTGCCAAGTCCACCAGGTATGAACTGAGCTGCTCTGTTATCCTCTTCAGCTTAATGGGTAATTGGTGAGGGAAGAGAGTGTGTTCACTCTTCAGAGCTAGTTACATAGATTTGGGGTGAAGATTTCACTAAAACCCCTTCACTTTTTCCTCTCCACCATAGCCAATAGTATGTAGGTCAGGATGCAAAGGATGACAGCTGCCTCAGAGGACTAGCTTTAGTGTTACCTACATAGTATAAAAGAGCAGGGACTCAGGGGACAGTGTGCTTATCTGTATGGATGTCTGCTGCTAACTGATCACATGTAGTAAATACACCATCTTCTTAGGCTATTGGGAATGTTAAAACCAATGTAAGTACTTAAAATACAGTGCCTGCCCTCAGCACAAGGATAAAACTGGAATCTTAAGTCTTTTGAGACCAGTCCTTCCTCAAAGTCAGCAAGACAAAAAAAAGGGTGAGAAAGATACTTAAGGGATACTTTCCAGTTTGGGCAAAGTGGCCATCCTTAACTGGCATGGAGATGTATGGAGTCCAAACAGGTCAACTTCAAGTAACGTGGATAAACCAGTCAGAATAACAAATCCTAACAGATCTGTGTCTACAATGAATGTGACAACTGGAGGGCAAATGTGCCAAAGGTGAATGGCTCAAGTGTAGTGCAAGCCCTGATTTATCATCTCCTGTGTAAACTTACAAAGATAAGGATTTTTATTCACTGAGGTGCCTGGAATAGAGCCAGGCCACAGTGGAACAAAAGTACTTGCAGAATGGGTGACTATGAGCTTGCCTTTTTTCCATTTGCACTCCCCAATTCAAAAGCTGACCAAGTGAACCAAGAGCATCACCAACTACCACAGACAACCTTTGGTAAAAGTGGGGGAAGAGAAGACTGGAAAAAAACCTGGGCCATGTATGAGAGAAAATCTCAACATGTGTGGCACATGGGGCTAGAGTAGGAAGCTTAAGTGGGGGTTCTTGCTTCTATCTACATCTAGAGCAGACACTGAAGTCTTACCCTCATCCTCTACTAACGAACCAGATAGCCCTATGGTCATTTATGCCCTCGACTTAATACACACAAACATCAAGAAAGGTTAAGGAATTTTCTTTATTTTTTACAAATTAAGACTATGTAGATATCATATATTTTTTTAATCAAAAACACCTTTGCTTCACAGTATGAGTTAGAGAATGCAGCCTGAGCTGAAAACCACGAACTAGAAAAGAAAGTGGAAATTACAGTGATACCTGTATTAAAAACCTGTTAGGCATTTTCTTTAAAAGTAGTTTTTTTTTATATATATCTTGTCATTCTTGGCACTGTTTCTAAAGAAAAACTCCTTTATCCCAAGCAAAAAAGCACAAAAGGTGGAGTTTGGCTTCAAGAGGTGAAACTCAGATTCAGGCCTAGCAGAGAATCACCGTATTTGTGGAGAGTTGCTAATGAGGGCTTAATAGGAAGAACATCCCTTTAGTAAGTTCTCAAGCCAGAGGCTGGAGGTAGCAGCTAAATCAGAGGGCAGCAACCTCAATAGAAGCAAGCCATGCTGGGTGCCATACCACTCCAGCAAGTTTCATGGGATGGCATAATGACATGGTACACTGCAAACCTGCAGTCACTATGTACAGGTTGTGAACAGGAAAGTCCAAAAATAGCATCCTACTGGTAATGAGCCATCAATGGCATAGTTCCCCTGCACTGAAACCTTAACCAGGGTCACAACCACTCCTGACGCTGACCTTCTGTGCCAGCTGACTGTAGTACCCATGGGGAAGGAGCTGGTGATTCCCATTAGGACTGCCTACCCACACCTGTAACAACAAAGCTGAAGGGAATTGGAGCTCTTGCCAATTTGGTCACCTGGCTCCTGCCCAAAGGACTGCAGATTTCTGGAAACAGGTGACCAGACCAAAAATTTAAAGTGCATCTGTCAAATGACCATTTACCTACTACCCCGAATCTCTGGCTTGACAACATCCTAAAAGTGTCCAGGTAGGGTTGGACAAAAATGCACTAATGGGTTGTTACAAATGCTGTCTTCCAAGTCACTATGACCCTGCTTCACTGATTCCAACAAGAAACCATGTGGTTGATGGAGGCTTGTCCCCCATCACTCCAAAGAGTCCTTTATCTAGGATCATCTGGCAGTATTCATTACAATTAACCACAGAGGTTCAATCATTCCCTTCCCAATCCTTTTTCTCCTGGGACCTTTTACCATAGCCACTGGTGGAGACCACTTAGTAACTAAGGTGATAAAACAATTTTAAAAACCAACAAAAAAAGATACAACCACCAGGGAAAATTGGAGAATTCTGTGCTACCTCTACCTTGCCATATATTATTCAGCCTTTTCATAAATGCCTGACAAGAATTAGTCTTCCCTTTATGCTCAAGTCCTCCTACCCCATGGATGGAAGCAGGCAGATTCCCTGAGGGTCAGGCAGCAGTGGGAAAGGGAACATACACAAGTCCACATTCCCCTCATGACAACAAGGCAGAAAGGTGCTTGTCAGACCAGCTCACACAGTGCAGAGGAAGCAAAGCACCCACCAGATACTCTTTGCTTTCTTTGGGAGCTGACAGCTCAGATATGATGAGTCTGAGTTAACCATGGGACCAGCAACCTTCTTCCCAATGGAAAACGCACTGCCCAGTCCCACAGGAACCATGCGCAAAACCAAACAACACTGAGGAAGGGTAAGCCAATGTAGCTCTTATCAAACAGTCTAGGTCCACTTGCTGAGGCTCGGTGGGAACGTGGACTCCTTGAGTTTGTTCCTCTGCTGGCCCCACTCCTCATCACGGTGGTCTAGCTGCCTGAGCAGAGCAAGAGCTACAGATGGGCTGACAGAAAAGGGAATAAGGAAGAACCCCAGGAATACGAAGCCAAACTCTAAACTATATTCTGCTAATCAGTTTTTTGATCAAAAAACTCAAAATAGAGAAAACCACAAAGTACAAAAGCTTTTCTGATGCTTTTCATTATCATAGAACACACCACCTGTAATGTGTGCAAAGAGGAAATGAGGGGGAGAGGGAGAGGAAGTCAAACTGGGAAATGCTGGTCATCTCACTTCTTCTCTTTCTTCTTGTCCTACAAATGGAGAAAAATCACACAATTAATTTTTGGCATCAGATATAAAAGCTCAACCTGTTTTTTTTTTTCAGTTCTGGGGTAAACTCAGAGCCTACACCTTGAGCCACTCCACCAGCCATTTTTTTCGAGATAGGAGCTCATAACCTATTTGCCTGGGCTGTCTTCGAACCACTATCCTCTTGATCTCTGCCTTCTGAGTAGCTAGGATTACAGGTGTGAGCCATCAGCGCCCAGCAAAGCTCAATCTCGAGTGAGCCTTTGGTTAGGGACTGGAAGGAATCCAAGACAACAAGGAATGAGAAATGTTCCCTCAGCTCAGCAAGAACTGAATCTTAACCATCTGCCACTGGCAGTCCTTCCCCAAAGCTGCTATAGACTTAACAAACTGTCCCCACCCAACCCCCTCCAGCAGTACCTGGGTAGGCTGCCTAACCATGCTTGGCTACTCACAATCACCACAGCTCAGATCCCAATCAGTGAAGGCTGCAGACTGTCAGTCTATGCTAAAATATCAAAACTAAGACCAAGACCACCAACTCTCAAACAGGCCTGGGAAGCACTTTGCCTGGAGAGTGTGTGAACTCTCCACATAAACAATATTCGGAGATAATCTACTCCAAAGGACTCTTCATTCAATCTTATGTGGAAGCCCAATGTATTAAAGGAATTAAAAAAATTTGAGCTGCTACGATGGAAATGGGGACACCTGAGTGGTGCTCAGTCCTAATGCACAACAAGGCACTGGCGGAGTAGTTCAAGTGGTAAGAGTGCCTGCCTAGCAAGCGTGAGGCCCAGAGTTCAAACCCCAATGCCACCAAAAAAACACACACACAAAAAAACAAATGCGCAATAGCCGGACAGAATCACCAATCCCAGCTAGTCATTGCCTCCAGCGCTATTGCACTGTCTCATGTTCAGAATCAGGTCATGGATTCATTTGTTCCCTTAGTGCTGGACTAGACTGTTTGATACAGAATACTTCTTTAGGGAAAAAATTAAAACAAATGGATAAAAGTGGTCTACTCCTGAAATTTACGAAAGCTAGCATTTTACAGAATCTTTTCCTGAGTCCTAACGACCTTTATAGCCCTTAAATTCTTCAGAGTATGTTGTTCCTTAAAACCACTTAATCTCTTTTCCCTTTGATACCAATCTCAGAGATTATTTAAGAAGGAAAAATTGCTTTTACTTGTTCCTTTTTCTCAATCACCTGAAGAATTCTGGTTTACCTCTTGCTCAGTGGCCTTTCACTTAACTACACAATGCGTGAGTTAAGTTTTCAAATCTAAAGTATACACAGAGGCTGAGTAGGGAAGCCATTCTCTCATCTGCAGGTTGTAGGCTGACTAACCTTCTCATTCATAGCCAAGATCATCATGAGTTTTCTGAAGAGAGTAACAAAATCTAAGAAGAGATCAATGCAGTGCCTGAAAGAGAAGAACCAGGTTACCAACTGCACTTCTCACTTTCCTTTATCCACAAGCCCACAAAGCGACAGAACATAAACTTCATCCCCACCCATGAGTCAACCTCTCCAACACTCAACCACAACCAATGAAGTAAAACTCTGGGGTCTGAGATCCTTTTCAACACAATAAAACCACATAGTATAAAGAGACTGGGCTTTATTGGATTATACAGAGGCTCAAGTATGGACCCTGAACTACCACCAATTAGTTATGAGACTGTATTTATTTATTTTTGGTACTGGGATTTGAACTCAAGGCTTTCACCTTGAGCCACTCTACCAGCCTTTTTTTTGTGATGGGTTTTTTTTTCTAGATAGGGTCTCGCAGAACTATTTGCCTGGGCTGACTTCTTACAGCAATCTTCCTGATCTCTGCCTCCTGAGTAGTTAGGATTATAGGCATGAGCCACCGGTGCCCAGCTTAGTTCTGAGACTTTGAGAGGATTACTACACTTAAAAACTATGCATATCTTCTCATTGATAAAGGTTTAAATAATACAGAAAAGTGTAAAAAAGCAAAAGGAGTCAGGTGTGGTGGCAAATTCCTGTAATCCTAGCTACTTGGGGAGGCTGAGATCAGAAGGATTGCAGTTCAAGGCCAACCCAGGCAAACAGTTCCGAGACTCCATTTCCAGAGCAAAATGGATTAGAGGTATGACTCAAGCAGTAGAGTATCTGCTTTGCAAGTTCAAAGTCCTAAGTTCAAACCCCAGTTCCACCAAAAAAGAAAAAAAAAAATAGCACCTCCTGCATGGAGGTAGCTACTATTAAAAGTGTGAAGGTCTGGAATTGTAGCTCAGTACTTGCCTAGCATGCATGAGGCCCTGGATTTGATCTTTAACACCACCAAAAATAAAAATAAACAAATAAAACTATGGAAAATAAGTATGTATTAGTCCAATTTTTAAAATCGGTACCTTTTGGGAGTTGGGGGAACTATGCTATTGATGTACAGCTTCAAAAACATGCTACCACATATACTCCTGAAGCTTGGCCACCTAAGTTCAGCTGTGGAACAGAATGATATCCTTCAACCTTTATTCTTGTTACAGACCACTTCCCACACTCACCAGATATAATCCTTATCTCCATTTTCAGCCTTTTCAATAATGAGCTGAGTATCAAAAAGGACAAAGCCACACATGACCACCAGCCCCATATACAAGTTTGCCTAATGGAAGAAGAATTAAATAAAAGTTACCATATAGTAGTTATAGTATGGGGGAAAACAGCTGTATTTTCTTGCTCTTGACCACTTGAAAATACATCAAATGCTAACCTAATGGACAATGGTGAAGACCATATATTTCCCAAGGCACAATTCTGCTGCCACTCTTTTAGGTTACTGAAAAGCTTCCCTATTTTAACAAGTCGTTGCTGGATGGTCTTAGACTAACGGTCTCTGAACAAAACACCTTCTTCTTAGCAGTGCCCAACCATGTACTTCCACATATGGCAGAGGCTTCACGTTAGTAGGAAGGCCTAGAGGGTACTGTCCAAAGAAGATGAGCATCCTAGATGCTTAGACTCTTTTGTTATAGGGTTAAGTGAAAAAAAAAAAGTATGAGGCAAATGGCTGCTGGAAAGTTCTAGGAAAATCTCACCTGGAAAAGCCAAATGGATCCAAAGAAAAGGTTTCCCAGGGAAGACAAGAGCATCAGGCTCATGGCTGACATCAATATACCTATTAAGACATGGCAAAAAGTTACCTTGAGAGAAGCCAAAACAAAGCAATGCCAATGAAGGCTTTTAAATTCAATTTAACAGTCACCAAAGAATTGAGGTGGAGAAGGATCCTAGTGAGAATTCTGGCTAGAGCAGAGCCCCGCTCCCTGCTGCCCACTCTACACCTACCTCCCAGAAAGAGGTAGCTCCGGCGCCTGGCGTACAGTGCACTCAGGGTGAAGCAGGTGAAGATCATCGCTGTGCCCATGAAGGCAGTGGGAAGGATGCTAGCAAAGAAAAAGACCATTAGCCTGAGAGCTACAAGCATGTGGCCTATAGTTAAAGGTATAGTCATAAAGATAAAAAGACATAAAACATTATTAAAACAGTCACCTGGGATTGATAGCAATGCACAACTCCAGAGCAGGGCCCAGACCAACTCCTAGAAGACAACAATAACAAAAACCCCAGAACACAATATTACTATCAATTGCTGAAGAGAACAACTGCTGATCCAAAAGCTGATCATTAATAGCACAGGCTCCTAAAAACAAAATGTGGACTAAAGTAACTAAATTTCTCTGTCCTCCCTCTTCCTTAATTGTTTTCAAGAGAATATACACCTGAGTTATTTTTTTAAGACATATCCACAAAATTGGAGACTGTAATGTGAGCCAGATAAGCAATTAGAGTAACAGGGTAAGAGCAGGGTCTGGTGGCCAGAAACTACAGTCATGCAGGACTGACTCCCTTGGGCACAAAGAAAGGCCAGACCAGTTCTACAGGAGAACACCTGCCAACAGGAAGGCAAACTATCCCAGCCAAACATTTCTTCTATTCTGGCTATTTCCTCTCCTTCTGATAATCTACCCCTTAATGCCTTAAAAACTAGTTTTCCCTGACCCAAAAATCTTAATCCCTAAATCTTTTCCTTTCTAAAATTTCCCCAGCATTGCATGAATTAGACTGTCACTCAGAACAAGCTGTACATTAATATGTTGCTTTGCAAGTATTTTTAATTTGTAGTTTGGGTCCTGTTTCCTTTAATGATAATTCTAAAAGAGCTGCACTTCTAATTCTTTCCCGACAGCAAATTGTTCTGTGCAATGGATCTTCAATGTATGAGTTTAACTGTCAGCAAGGCTCAGAATGGATGCTCCTGTGAGAGCAGATGGACCATGTGGGTCCAACTAAGTCACATTCTCAGGCCAAATTAAGTCCCATGTCTACCTTTTTTGGTGGTACTGGGGTTTGAACTCAAGGTCTCTTGCTTGCTAGGCAGGCACTTTACCACTTAAGTCACTCCGCTAGGCATTTTTGTGTTGGGTGTTTTGGAGATAGAATCTCTCAAACTATTTGCCCAGACTGGCTTCAAACCTTGATCCTCCTGATCCATCTCCTGAGTAGCTAGGATTAGAGGTGTGAGCCACCGGCGCCCGGCCACATCTACCATTTTATGAGCCGTGAACCTCATTTGTTTGAGCACACAATGCCTATTTTGAGATACAAAAGCAGAAGTCATGGTTGCTAGTCACAAGCTTACCCTATTGACTGGTAAGTAAGATGAATCTGTACAAAATTAAAAACTAATACTCAAATACAAGTATGACTGGACAGTAGGACAGTATAGACCTAGAGGAGCCCAAAAGAGAGAAATCACAGCAGTATGAGATACTGCAGAGAACATACTACAAAGAGAAGCCTTCCGAAGGAATTGTTTGATAATAGGCAGACAAGAAAAGTATGCCAGGGCTGGGATGTAGCTCGGTGGTACAACGCTTGCCTAGCATGCGCGAGGCCCTGGGTTCGATCCAAGCACCAAAAAAGAAAAGACAAAAAAAAAAAAAGTACGCCAGTTGGGGCAAATGAGAGTAAGTATAAACCTCAGGCTTTGGTCTAAAGAGATACTAAAAATATAGCGCTCCCGTCTCCCCCAATTAAGACCAATCCCTTAACATACCTGTAAGGAAAGCAAATCCAGTAAGAAGTCCCAGTCTTTTCTGTTCAGTTTCATGGCTATGAGGTGTTGCCATCAGCCAAATCATCAACCCCAGGGAGCCCAAGGCAGAGAGCAGGCCAGCCTGTCACAACCAGTAAATAAATAAATACTGAAAGTTTCACATCTGGCAGGACAACTTTACTAGGTTCAAAAACTCATCTGAAATTCCTAGGATTTGCTAGAGGCGAGGGAAAGGCAGTGTTATCTCATGTATGGTGAGAAAAACCAAAAGTTCTGAAAGTCAGGGTTAGGACCACCGTGAATGCTGAAGGCTCTTTTGACTTGGGAAGCCCATCAAATATAGTACAACTACTTAAGTCGAACTCCAAGTGCACTTTACCCAAAAACAGAAAAGATGAAGCAAACTAAACAGTGCTTAAAGCACATTTCATCCACAGAACAAGTAGAAATGATCCCTTTTTTTGTCACTTAAAAAAAAATGTGCGCTGGGTTAGTGGCATGGCTCAAGGGTTATAGCACCTATCTTGCAAGCAGGAGGCCCTGAGTTCAACTCCCAGTACTGCCCCCTCAAAATTTTTTTTTTTAACCACTCTTCATGTCTACAAAACGTGCTATAAGTAATTGACTTTGGAGTTACAAATTTTACCAAGTAGGTGAATTCCCAAATACGAAATCAGTGAAAAATGAAGATTGACCACACTTTGTATTACATTACTTTAAAAAACAAACAAAACACAACCAGAAACCAAATGGGCCAACCTTGCCTAGAACTTAAGGATCTATGCCCTGTCCTTTTGAGTGTCTGGATTAAATTTTTACACCCTTAGAAGGAAATACTAAACAGGATAGTTCTCTGCAGTAGCAAATGCCAACACAAACACACCCGTGTTTATGCTAGAGAAAGACTCTAAAATGGGACAAGGCTTGGTTAGTGAGAACGTCAAACTTTTTGGTTATTCTTTTAAACTGTACCTTCTAATTCTTCTGGCTAAACCCAAACCCTCCCTTTCAAGACAGGACAATGAGTTATTGAAGGATTCACTCAACCATGCATATAACAGTAGATCAGAGAACAAAATGGGTCAATCCTGCCTCTTCCAATAATTAACAGTACAATTGATGTTTTGTCTTCAAGTACTCCAGTCATTTAGGTAACAAAAAAGAACAAGGAAAAACAAAGGCCAGCAGGCATGGCATGTCTCTCCTGGTGTGCGGTATGTCTTATAAATCAGCAGCACACCATTCAATGCCAAAATTAAGATATTCTGTGTTCAGTATCTAGAGGGGCACATTTGCCAGAAAACCTAAATAGCTTTACCTATCTTGATAGTTCAGATCTCAAATTACTGATAGAATTAAGGAGGGGCACAAGAATGGACTACCCTGCTAATCTGGTTTCTTCCTAGGGCAGTTTGTACCATAGCAACCAGAGAGAAACCTGTTCTTACCTGAATGAAATGAGTGACAACGTGGACATAGGCACCCGCAGCCGCAACAAACATACAGAGGGCAAAACTGGCATAGACCTTCTTTAGGTGCTGCTGTGTTGAGGGGGTTCTAGGAAAGAACGTTTATTCAGCCATTACTCTTGGACCAACCTCATCTCTATGCTAAGGATTATTTCTCTCTCTCTCTCTTGCCCAGAGAACAAGTCAAAGTTTTATCACAAATAGCTGGAGATACTTTGGGGAGAGCATTATTATAAAAAAAGGATGCTTTGAAAATAGGTTAACAGAATCTTAATTGTTGGGAAGAGCCAAAAGCCCAAATGTATAAACAATCAGTACCCAAACTAGAATAAAAGACTTTCCAGAGACCACACAGCAGCCCTTAGAATCTGGGTACTTTCATCAGGTTTATCTTGAGTCCAGCCAATTTGTTAACTTCTACATATAAAAGTTAATAAACTAGGAATAAAAAACCAGATATAACAGGAGACGCAGTAAGGAGCCACAGTCATGGTTAAAACACTTACATATGAGAAAATTTTAAGAGGGCATCAAAGTTGATCTTCCGATCAAATACATTCATGGTTCCAGAGTCTGTGTGACACAGCCTCCTTCTCTGTAGAGTCAAGAATAAAGAGAAGGTTATTTTAAAACACCGAAACACATAAAATAGTGCAAGTAACCTTTTTAGAAATATTAGCAAATCCAGCTTTGGGAAAAATGAAAAAATGAAAAGTTATCTAAAATTTCACTGCTCTACTATAAACCATTTTCAGTTTTACATATGTCCTCCTAGATGCATTTGAAATCGCTGTCAACTCTATTTTAAAGAGGACAAAAGAAATGAACCCATCTTCTCTCCCAAACTATTTTATTACTATCATTTCATTTCTTGCAAAAGGCCCTTTAAAACATAGTTTGTGCCCCAAACAGGCCACAGGTTCATGCCTGTAATCCTAGCTATTTGGGAGGCATAGATAAGGAGGTTCAAGGCCAGCCTGGGCAAAAAGCAAAACCCTATCTCAAAAAATATCCAACAGAAAAGGGTTAGAGGAGTGGCTTAAGTGGGAGAGCACCTGCCTAGCAAGCACAAGGCTGAGTTCAAACCCCAGTACAGCCAATATATAAATATGTATTTGTAAGAGAAATTCTTCTCAATCCTGTTAAAGGGACCCACCACTGTCACATAAGCAATTTTATGTCATCATTTTAAGATACTAAGGCACCTCAAAGACTTAAAAAAGCAAACAGGGCTGGTGGAATGGCTCAAGTTCAGTAAGTGCTTAGCAAGCACAAAGCCCTAAGTTCAAACCTCAGTACCATCACCACCAACAACAAAAACTGTAAAGCTGGGTCTAGCACCAGGACTTTCATTTTAAATATACACATGCAGAAATTTTCCACTTAATACATTTTAAAAACTAAACTGAAAGATACTCACAATTTAAAAAGGGAGAAAGTTCCTTAAAGAAATTTATGCTTTTTAGAACTCTTCTGTAATTTTTTAGTTTCAGGACTTCCCCTACAGAAAGTTGAGAAGAATACAAAGATATCCTATATATTCTTCACTCAGATTTCCTAAGCATTAATATTTTACCCTATTTGCTTTATCCTTTCTCTCCCCTCATCAATCTGTAATACAAAGACTTAAAAATTTCTTTCTTAAACTGTGCAAACACAATGCCCCTAAATACTTCAGTGTGTATACCCTGAAAACAATGATCAAAATCAGGAAATTAATACTGATGCAATGCCATCATACAATCTACAACCATACTCACATTTTCCCAACCATCCAAGTATATCAGAAAGGACATTTTAAAACTGAACCACATCCAGGTTACATCATCATAAAATCAGGTTCTTAAGTTTCACTCCCTCCCCTAGTTCACATGAAATCCTAAATAAATACATTCATTCTACAGAACTAAAGATCTGATCAAGAGCTTTCCCCTTTCCCAAATATTCTCCAAATTCTTGTATTTGACACACGATGCCCATGTATTTCAAATCTACTTAAAAAGGGGACATGAGGAAGATGGGATCCAAACACAGAAGTTGTTTGAAAGACAAGCCAACCACTCAAGCCCATTCTAATCAGTACCTGCCAGCTCAGCACAATTAACTTTGACAATGAAAGTTACTATCCTCAAGTCAACTTCCTGAGGAATCCTGGGCCAGTGGAAAAATGCCACTCTTTATAAGTTATAAGCATCACTGCCATTGGTTTCCTGAGGCTCTCCTCCCTCAAATGAAACTATCACAACAGCTAGATGGCTGGCTTTCTTAGTCAGCCAACATCCCTACTCACCTCACTTCTTTTGTTCTGTTTTCAAGGAGGGATGCAGTGAGGAGCTGCAGAACCTACTAAAGCCACTGCTCTGTCCTGTAACTCATGGGGCTCTGAGCCCTCTTGATCTAGATGGTGCAATTATTGCAGGCTGTTGCAAGGCCTAGCACAGCCTTCCATAACCATGATGAATGTGTCCTCTAGAGAGCACACTTACAGGATGGCAGAATCCAGCGCCTGGAAAGTGTCTTTGTTTAAGGTTTCCATTAACACCCCTAATGACATCCCTAGACAGAACTTGCAACAATACTGAAGCAACCTGCAGAGCCAAGTTTCTGAGTGTTCACAACAGCAATGCTAAAGTACCTCTTGCTTCCAATTTCAAGCATCAAAAGGGAGGTGGGTAGAGGAGGCCTCAAATACCCAGGGGACTGTTAAATCAAAAAGGGGCAATACTCATGTAACCAGACCCCTCAGAGTGTAAACTAGGACAGGACAATGGCAGAAACTCCTCATTCCCAGTTTGCTCTTTCACATTTCCAAGGGGTATGCAATGTGCCTCTTTCTGGGGTACTCTCTCCCTCGATGGAAAAGCCAAAACTATCAAAGGCTGTGGATGAGGCTGGGGGTGTCAAATAGCAATTTTACCTTGATTTAGTAGTTTCTTTTTTGTTTTGTTTGGGAGACAAAGATTTCACTATGTAGGCCATGTAGGCCTCCTCAGTGCTGGGATTACAGATATACACCATCACGCCAGGCTAAAACTTCCTTTTTTTTTTTTTTTTTTTGGTGGAGTGGAGTGGGGTTTGAACTCAGGGCTTCATGCTTACAAAGCAGGAGAAAGCAGGAGCCCCACCACTTGAGCCATGCCTCCAGTACAAAACTTCCATTTTTTGATATCACTACCTACTCCAAAGTTTAAGTAAAATGTATAACTATCAAATTTCAGAAATGGAAAAGTACATAGCAATTTCAATAGCGATATAGAGAAAAAAATGCAATAAAGTATACATTTAATTTACAGGACATAATGTATATATGACATAACTTATTTTAGAAATGCTAAATTGTGAGGGGGGAAATTGGTCTTAGAATCAAGTAAATACAAGTTTGCTCTATAGCTATTTCAAATAGACAAGAACATACAAGTGGTCAGGTTTTGGCAGAGTAAACAGGTTTTTTACCTTGGCCTCAACTGGTTGTACTAGGCAGCTGCACAAAAGAGATACCTTCATTTTCAAAGGTCAATGTATAAATTCAGTTGAACAGGATTAAATTGCATTCATAACTCATAAATAACAGCTTCCATACCAAAAATATTTTTAATTCCAAGAACAGCTGACTCTTAGCAGAGCTTGAACTATTCAAAAAAGTAACTAAGTCACACAGCTAACATACCAAAGGACTCTACAATTAAATGATAGATCTTTGCTTTAAAAAAAAAACACTAAAATGGTATTATGTATATTTTTGTAATAAAGAAAAAGTACAAGTTGCTCAAAATTTCAATATAGTAGTTCCAATATACATCTAAGCCTACTACAAAATTAATAACAGCATCAGTCTATCTCACCCTGAACCCCAATTCATAAACAAATGTAGAAATCGATCCTCTCCCATACTCTGGTTCTATAAATACTCAACTGAAACAAGTTAGGGGAAAATTATTTACATGGAATTCAATGTCAACAGTGCCTCCCACAGTCATAGAAAAATGTGCCTATACTGCATCTGTAAAGGAGAAATAAATACTCAGGTATTAGTCATATCCAAACTCCTTTAATCTGACGTGGAGCCTCATTTTATGCCTTCATCCTTAGGAGAGCCAGAACCCCAAAACTTGTCAGAATGTCAAAACTTGTCATGTACATACTGCTAAAGTTTTATTGAAGTTTACCATTTGGTGGTGACCAGTCAGCCACTCCAAATTACAAAACAAAAAGTTAGAGCAAGGTGTGGTAGCAGCACCCTGGATGTTGAAATAGGAGGATTGTGAGTACAAGGCTAACCTAGGCTACACAGCAAGACACTATCTTCAAAACAAAACAAAAAAAAACCACGATGGTCTCACCATGTAGTTTAGGCCTGTGTGAAACTTGCTACATAACCCTGGCTGCCCTTGAAACTCTCAATTCTCCAGCTTCAGCCTCCAAAGTGCTGGGAATAGAGGCATCACCACACCTGGCTAGTAAACCAGTTTTGAGTTAGGTATTTTTGTTTTTTCTTGGAAGAGTGTACATCAGAGGCTGCCAGGAGGAGAAAGATTATCATCAATAGACATCTGTCTTATTAAATCCCTTGATGTTTTTGTTACAGGTATTTTCCTTACCCTCATCCTAAAATGAAAGATTATCATCAAGAGTCAAGCCTTTAAAACAAAACAACAAAAACCCTTACAATTCTATTTCAACAGGCCTAATAAATTCAGCACAAATGAAACATGCTGAAGTCTCCAAATCTATGCAAAACAGAAACTATTACGTATGCAGTATGCATTTTGAATTAATCCTTGCCTTTGAAAAAGGCTGCTGAATGCTGGAACCAAGACAGAAGTTGCCTCAGTGTGTAAAATTTAACAACATGAATCCAGCAAGTCAAAGAAACACTGTTCAGAAATTTAATTGAATATCAGACTGTGAACTGCTTGTTTTTCCCCTCCTGTTATATAAGTCAACCATCTTGAACCCTGTCTCCACACATCCAAAAGGGGCCAAACTGATACGTAAAAAGAGAAGAAAAATCCCATATGGCTTAAAAAGGGGGAAATATTATGTTTTAGTAGCTCTTACTATTGAACAGGTTCCAGCCTCTGTACAAATGTCATTAGCACAGTAGTTAAGAGCATGGCAAGGGTGTACTCTATTCAATTCCTAGCATGGAGGGGGAGAAAATAAACCACTGCTTGCTACTTGCTTTTATTTCCTTAGCTGTGAGACATAAAGCAAGCTTCTGGCATTAAGTCTCATTGTGCTTCAGTTTCATCATTTGTAAACTTGTAATACGTAAGAGTCCTTAGTTCACAAGGTTGAATACTAAGCAAGATAATACAATGAAGATGATACAAATAGTGCTTTGTACTCAGGACAAGCTCAATGCACGCTAGGTCAGGTTGTAAAAGACATTTATCCTAGGCCTGATTTACATATGCCAGGTAAGTTATTTAAATATGCCATTAACTCACAGCTATATTGTGAAGGTTTCATAGTTCCCTAAATAAAAGAATGAAGTTAAATGAAGGAGAGGGGCTAAGAAAACTATGAATAGAAATTTAAAGGAGCTTGATAAACCTTATTACTCGTTAAAACTACTTTTGTTTAAATGGCACACTTCTCCTCTGACACATTTACACTATGTATCCCACAGGGATACAAGGTGTTTTGAGACAACCTAATAACCATTAAGTGATAATCTGATATGGTATAGAGAAGTTAAAAATGGTCATTAGCTTGATACTTTTCTTGCCACCCCAGGAGGTAGGTCAGCTCAGTTTCAGGACAGTCTGGGGAATACCATTTCAACTAGGGCTGGGCTTTGTTTCTCTTAGGTCAAGACCCTATGATGCCATGCCCCAGCCTCTCCCTTAACCTGGATCAAAATCCATGGGTTAGTTAATGCTGCATCCATCTCTGGATCTGGAGGGGGCTGCCTCAGAACACAGTAACTAAAACTGAATGCCCACCACTTTCAAAATAATTTTATTTTTTAATAGCAAAGTCTGACACTCCTGAATCTCCCTGCCTCTTTATAACCACAACTCTGACAAAACTGAGTAAGAAGGCTCCAATGTCCTAAATACATAATCTTCTTCCAGTATAAACCAGTAATCCCTCTCCAACACCAGGCATAAATGAAGACCCACAGCACACCCACTTCACCCTCACCCTAGAAGTGAGGTCACTTATAAACAGTGACCCTGTTTAGTTAATTGTGCAGGAACGTCTCACTTTGAGAGAACTCACATGTGGTTCAGCTTGGCTACCCTCCATATGTAAACATAAGATAGAGTCTCTAGACCAAATCTAAACCCCATTATCAGAACAATAGTCCTGCACCATGAAATGGACATTCTTTTGCTGGCTCAGAATGGAACCTACCTATAAGTAACCCTAAGTGAATTCAATCTCTACAGCCTCAGTCTCTTTGGTCTTTAACACTCTTTGGGAAAAGTGTATAATATAAAAATTTTACAAAGGGCTCCACAAAATTTGGTTAAAAAAAACTCTGGGGGTACAAAACTGGGTGAAGGGGCTAGCGGAGTAGCTCAAATGGCAGAGTGCCTACCTAGGAAGGGCAAGGCCCTGAGTTTAAACCCCAGTACCACCAAAAGGAAAAAACAAAAAAAACAAAAAAACGAACTGGGTGAAATGGAAGATATCTGTACCAGGTTTTATAGACAAGTCGACACGTCAGAGTAGCAAAGGAAAATTTAGAAGACAGGACATCATGTGAATATTCAGTGGTTTCCCCAGAGGAGATTAATACTCTTGGGTGGTTTATGAAATAAAATGAAACTCTTCAGGCCAGCAGTAGTACTTTCTATAGTACCACAGACTACATTTATATAAAATTTTACAACTTTCAAAGTGCTTTTATATACCTTATCCCCTTTTATTTTCACACTAATCCATGAGGAAAAGACCAATGATTAGTCAAATGTTAAGATTTATAGGAACAACAAAAAAGGCAACGTTAATAGTGACAAGAGAATAGGATTTGGAGTTACAAATCCTGACTTCTTCTACCACATAACCTTGGGAAAAATCATTTTACCTAGTCATCATCTTGGCTTCTTCATCCATAAAATGAGTTCTACTGACTGACAATAAGAGAATGTGTATGATTTCATTCTAAGTGCTAAATAGACATTAGTAATGATTTCACCAACATCAGAAAATTAAGATGAATAGAACCAGAAGCAGACCTCTATGGTCTGGTGCTCTTTTTATTATTCCACCCTACAGTGGAGAAACTTTCCTGAAGGCAATTCCAGCTGTGCAACTATAAAACAAACAGAACTCCTAAAAATATATGTTGGCTTCTATAACACTCTTCTGTATTTTTCAGCATTCTACAAAAAACATGAACTAAATCTATAATGGGGGGAGGGGCATTGGATTAACTTAAGTATCTGGATTGATTTTACCTTTTTCTTTTTGGTACTACAGTTTGAACTCAGGACCTTGCACTTGTCACTTGAGTCACATTCCCAACCCCCTTTTCTATTCTTTAGGAGAGTAAGACTTCATTCACATCAACAGTGGGGAAGGAGAGAAGAAAGGGTAGTAAGCCATGTTTCCACAAGATGAATAATGGAGGAGGAAAACTTTGGATCCAAATTACGGATTGCATTTTTCAAGGGTTCAACCATTCTGTCCCTAACTGGAGGAAAAGAGCAGAGAATCTAAACGTCAACTTATTTTTGAAGCTAGAACAAAAAAAACTAGAAAAAGAAGAACAAGAAAACAACAAAGAGTAAATCTAAGAATTACAGAAATGTGTGTGCAGAAGCCATAGAAATGTTATGCAATTCGGGTAATCTTTCTTGAACTTTTTTTTTTTTTTTTAAAGCGGTACTGTGGGTTGAACACAGAGCCTCCCGCCTGTGCTCTACACTTGAGCCACCCCGCCAGGTCACTAAAATCAACTCTTAAACTATCTAAACAGCCCAAAAATAAACTATAAATAAATATCAATAAGTAACTAGAAAAGTCCATTTGCCATTAACCTTTAACCTTAAAATCCTTGCTGTTTTTCAGGTACAGTCAGCTCTTCTACTGGGTTACACATTCACAAGTTAACTATTACTGGAAGAGTCTCAAGTTCAAAGTGGATTTTGTTGTTCCGTGAAATGGAAACCTAGTTGGATAGACAATGCAACCTAGGCTGGCACGGGGTAGCTTTTTTTGGTCAAAAATACCAAAGCCTACTTATCACAATTCCAGCAAGTAGATTCAAGGGGGAAAAAATAAATAAATAAACGCCCAACGACGCCCTTCCAGAGCAGACTTTAAGACGCCCAGAGTTCAGGATCAAGAAATCAAGGCCACCCTCACCTGTCCAAAGGTAACCAATCAGACCAGAGCGGGCTGGGAAGCCAGGCCACACTCCAGTCTCTTCTCAGCTCCTGCCTCGGCCGTTGGCTTCCAAGTAACTAAGGAATCTCGCGTGTCACAGAGGAGTGTGACATCACACGGCCCGCCGTGACAGGGCAGTCTGCCTGACTAGGCCCTAGCTCGAATCCAGTCCCCGGCCGCTCACCAACAGAATCTACAGCAAAGCAGCGATCAGTGGGGGAGGGGGTGGGGGTGGAGGTAGGAGATGGGGTGACCACAAACCACACTGCTTTCGCTTTCATTTACCTAGGAAGGAAGACGCTGGGGAACGCGGTCGAGACTGGGCCCTGCGTCCGCACTTAGCGGAGTGGGAGGCGGAGGAAAGAGAAGGGGAAGTAAGGCAAGGAATGAGACCAAAAAAAGGCCCTCGCTAGCGCTCTGGCGCAGAATTCAAGCAACGACGCCCCCAAAAGACTACGCAGACTCGCCCGCACCCCACCCCCGTCCGATACAGTTGCGCATGCGCGACATAGTTCACCAGCTTCCCTCCCCGCCCAGCTTTTCCGGGCGGACGCAGAGCGGTGCCGGGTTTTTTTGGGTTGCTATCTGTCCGAAAACGGAAGCTACTCTTGTTCACTTAACATTTCTTACCACTGGCTTACCTAGTCCCACCTTAAGACATACCTTCTTAACCCACCTCTCCGGAGCTTACCAGCTCTTCTAACACCGGATATGCTCTGAGTCTCTCAGGGTTGGCTCTAGATCTTTACCCGGTGCCCGCCCCCCTAGAGGAAGCCCCGCCCCCTCGCCCCTCTCAAGGCCGGTTCTCATTGGCTGTTGACTGCGTGCTCATAAACAGCGGCGGTTTACTTCAGAGTCATTAGCTAATAACCTTGTCGATCAAGGTTCTGACCACCAACGGGCGTCATAGCAATAGGTCTCCGCCTCCTTTCTCTACTCAGGAAGAATGGCTGGCCACTGCCCCATCTAGTGGAGAAACTGGAGAGGGCCAGGCCCAGCCCGAGACACCTGACAAGTAATGGAGACCCCAACGACGCTTAATGGGATAGCGCAGCAAAGCCCCGGATTCTGGTTGTAGGCTTCATGTGGAATACTTAAAGGAGGAAAACGATTCAAAGAATACAAAGGAAACCTCTGTAACAGGGACCAATTTACTGTGAATCTCGTGGAGCATAAGTTTCAGAGCACCTTTGAAAGCTCAGAAATATAAGGAGGAAGTAGAAGTCCCAGTTCGGCATCAGACCCGTGGACCCCAACCTAGAGGTCACTCTTCAAGGCCATGTGGTGGTCCTAGGGCCACAGACTGGGCGAACTGGCTGCAAAAACCGCCTCCCCATCCGAATGCTTGGGAAGTGGGCGGTTCGTCATAGTCAAGTCGGACCTGCCAGTCTAGTGGAAGAAGACAAAGGCAAGTCTTAAGCAGCGACTTTGGAGACCAAGCCAAGTGAAGATCAAAGGGCGCGTCCGCACCAAATGTATAAGAACTTCTAGCAAGGAGTCTTGGAGCTGATAAAATTTCTAGGGCTTGGGGTATGGCTCAAGTGGTAGCGTGCCTGCCTAGCAAGTACAAACTCCTGAGTTCAAACCTCAGTACGGATGGGGCGAGGGGGGAAGGAATTAACTGTACCAAAAAAAAAAACCCTCTAAACTTCCAATATATTTTTTCTTTTAAAAGAGACAGGGTCTTGCTACAGAGCCCCCTAACTCATTACATAGTCCAGGCTGACCTCAGCCTCCCCAGTGCTGGGATTTACAGGCGTTCCCCACCACCCCCAGTTTCTGGGTGCTTTTGAGATTTGCTCCATGGTGCCAATTTTTAAAATTGAGATGAAATTTACATACAATATAATTCTCCCTCTCACCTGTAAACCTAGTTACTCAGGAGGCAGAGATTAGGAGGATTGAGGTCGTGAGACCTTATCTTGAAAATACTTCACAAAAAAGGGGCCTGGTAGAGTGGCTCAGCAGTAAGAGCGCCTGCCTAGGAAGTGTGCGGCGTTGAATTCAAACCTCAGTACCTTCACACAAACAAAAAGCTTGCCCTTTTAAAATATACATTTCAGTGGTTTTTTTTTTTTTTTTTTTTTTTTCTTATAGTGGTTTTTTACTCTACTATATTCACAAGATTTTGCAGCCATCACCACTAATTCTAGAACATTTTCATTACCCTCCAAGTCCCCATACTCATCAATTCTCTTTTCCCAACTCCAACAACCACTAATTTGTTCTCTGTCTATAGGTTTGCCTATTCTGGACTTTTCATATAACCAGAATCATATAATATATGGTCTTTTGTGTTTGGTTTCTTTAACTTAGCATAGTATTTTCAGGGGTCATCTATGCAGCATATGTAAAAACTTCATTCCTTTTTTATGGCTAAATTATATTCCATTGTTATGACTATACCACATTTTGTTCATTCACCTGTTGATGGATATTTGGGTTTTTTCCACTTCTGGACTATTAACAAATAGTGCTGCTATGGGGCTGGTGGCATGGTTCAAGTGTTAGAGCACCTGCTTAGCTGGCAAGAGTGAGTTCAACCCCAAGTACCTCCAAAAAAAGAAATAATACTGCTATGAACATTGCTACACAAGTTTTTTTGGGACATATACTTTTTTTTTTTTGGTGGGACTGGGGTTTGAACTCAGGGTTTTATACTTATGAAGCAGGCACTCTACCACTTGAGCCACACCTCCAGTCCATTTTGCTCTTGCTAGTTTGGAGATTGGGGGGGGGTCTCATGAACTATTTTCAGGGGTTGGCCTCAAAGCATGACCCTCCCAATCTCAGCCTGTCAGGTAGGTAGGATTACAGACATAAGCCACCATCACCTCACCCAGCTTAGACATATGCTTTTATTCCTCTTTGGTATATATTTATGCTATAATTTGTATACAGTTTTTCCCCTGTGAATCATATGCTGGAGTTTAACCCCATTGAGAGGGTTTTTTTTGTTTTTGGGAATCGGACCCAAGGCCTCATGCTTGCTAGACAAGCACTGAGCTACATCCCCAGCCCCCTCACTGTGAGGTAGTAAGAGGATAGAAACTATGGTGGGGCCTTTGGAAAGTGATTAGGATTAGATCAGATCATAAGGATGGAGCCTGTGATTGAGCACTGGTGACTATGTTAGAAGACAGACCAGAGCATACACACACACACACACACACACACACACACACACACACCCTTATCTCTTGCCATGTGATGCCCTGTATTGCCTGGGGACTCTGCCAGCAAGAAGTCCATCACCAGATGTGAGTCCTTGAGCCTCCAGAACTGTATGCTAAATAATCCTCTTTTCTTTATAAAATTATTCAGACTCAGGATTTTGTTATTGTATCCCAAAAAAAAAAAAAGGACAGACATCTGATGTGTGGAATTGTTGAGTCATATGATAACTTTGGGTTTAACCTTCTGAGGCATTGCCAAAGTGGTTTCCAAACTGGCAGCACCATTTTACTTTCTCACCAGCAATAGTTGAAGGCTCCAATTTCTCTACATCCTTGCTATCACATTACCAATAATTTCAATGTATCATCATCTTAATAAATGTTAAGTGACATCTCTGTGGTTTGCTTTGCTAATGATTAATGATGTTGAACATCTGTTGGCCATTGAATATCCTTTTTAGATAAATGTCTATTCAAATCTTTTGCCAATTTTTAAATTAGGTTGTCTTTTTATTATTGAGTTATGAGAGTTCTTTATATATTCTGGATACTTAACAGATACATGATTTGCAAATATTTTCTCCCATTCTGTGGGTGTTTTTTTCTTCTTCTTGATAGTTTTGAAGCAAAACAAAGTATTCATTTTTCTTTAGTTGTTTGTGTTTTATATGTAATATTCCTGGAAGTTAAACTATTTGAGGTAGAGGGTTTTTTTAATCACTTTGTGGGGTTTACCTACATTAATAAACATGTTTGCTATTCATTTATTATGAATTAAATAGTAAAGCAATGTTTTTTGCAGTGCTGGAGATTGAATCCAGAACCCCAGGCATGCTAGACAAGTGCTCTACCACCAGCCCATTTATTTTTCTCATAAAACACTGGCCTCAAACTTGGAGATCCTCCTGCCTCAGCCTCCCAAGACGCTGGAAATATAGGCACATGCCACCATAAAGCAAATTTGAAACAGTATCCTACAGATAAACATTCTTTTGGAAATACTGGGATTTGAACCCAAGGCTTCATTCTTGCTAAGCAGGCGCTCTACCACTTGAGCCATTACCCAGGCTGTCTTCAAACTGTGAGCCTCCTGGTCTCTGCCTCCTGAGTAGCTAGAATTATAGATATGAGTCACCAGCACCCAGCAATACATGTTTTGAATATGCATGCAAAATGTTTCATCTCAACTGTGGTTTGTCCCATTTGCTCATTTAGCAGTAGAAATAGAAGCTATGCTTGAAGCTATGCTTGAGGGTTTTGGGTTTTTTTTGTTTTTTTACAAAATGATCTTCAATGCTTTGACAGTCAGGAGGTTTACATATAATTTGTGTCTGTCCTGAAGGGTTCATGTGTTGGAACCTCAGTCTGACTGTGTTAAGATTTGATGAGATGCCAGCCATGATGGTTCATGCCTATAATCCTAGCACTCAGGAGGCAGAGGCAGGAGGATTGTGAATTTGAGGCCAGCCTGGGCTACATAGCAAGATCCTGTCTCAAAAAAAGAAAAAAGAATTGGTGGAACTTTTAAGAGGTGAAGTCTAGCGGGAGGACATTGAGGGTGCTGCCTTCAGAAGGAATTAATGTAGTTTCCTATGGTACCCTGGTTGGTTCTTGTCAGAGGGTTTTTATAAAAGACCAAAGCAAGCATGGCCCTGGAATTGCATTCTTGCTTTCTGTCTCACCTTGGGATCTCTACTCTTGCACACAATCTCATCATATCATATACCATAAGGCTCTCCCTAGAGTTGATCTGATATCAGCACCATGCCCTTGAATCTCCAGAACTGTGGGTTAAATAGACTTCTTTCCTTTATAAAGTACACAGCCTTGAGTATTTTTTTGTAGTGACAAATGTAAACTAATCCAGGTTGAGTTTATGACCTCTCCCCTTGAATCTGGGCAAGTTTGTGACTACTTCAGCTGGCAGACTATAGAACAACTGGTGCTATGTGATGTCCAAGGCTATTCCATAAGAAGCTATGCACTTTCTGGCAAGCCTCTTAGAACCCTTGCTCTTGGGATAGGCCTTTTAGAGTACAGCTGCTGGATTAGGAGCCTGAACCTGAAGAGGGCATGTATGAGTTCTTTGGTTGACAGTTCCAACTGAGTCAAGCTTTGGAGTCATCCTATCCCAGATGCTACATGGCTAAATAAATGAGCCTCCAGATGATTCTAGCCATTGGTGTCTTCCTAGTTGATGTTCTACTGTGCCTGGCTCAAATTTCTATATTATGAGAATCTGTGAGCCAAATTAACTGGTTTGTGTTTTATGCCACCATCTCTTTCTACAAATAATATGAAAGAACAAAACCAACATAAAAATAGGCAAAGAGACCTATAATTCTAGCTACTTGGAGGCTGAGATTGGGAGGATCATGCTTCAAGGCCAGCTCTGGCAAATAGTTCATGCACCACCCCCCCATATCCAAAATAACCAGAGCAAAATGGACTAGAGGTGTGGCTTAAGCAGTAGAGCCCCTGCTTTGCAAGCACCAAGCCTTGAGTTCAAACCCCAGTCCCACCAAAAAAAAAAAAAAGGCAAATTATATAAACAATTCAGTAAGAAGAAAACCCAAATGGACAA